CCCTTCCTCCCTCCCTCCCCCCCTTCCTCCCCCCTTCCCTCCTTCCCTCCTTTCTTCCACCAGTTCACTGAATCTTGCAGTTTGGCTTAGCTGGCCAGAAGCCCCAGGAACCTTCCTGTCTCTGCCTGTGAGTGGTGGCATTACATGCATGCATTGTGACACTCAGCTTATTCCTGTTGCTTTAAATACATGGGTGCTGGGTACTCAAGCTCAAGTCTCATGACCATGGGGGAAGCACTTTAGAAAGTGAGCATACTCCAAGCCCCTCTTTTCTGATCTAAGAAAATACTGTCTGAGAGGTCGGGTATGAATCCCAGTAACGAGAGTTCCGGTATGTTCTCTGATGTTATTCAACCTTTTTGTTTTAGTTTTCTTCTGTAATTGGCCTATTAATAATAACCATGCTCATGGAATTAGGAGGATTACTTATAAATATTAGAAGAATATTACCAACTACAGTAAGAATACAATAATCATTTCTATCACTATCATTCCTTGTCATATGCTTTTTCTAGGAAAACTATTTTTGTGAGAACTTCAGAGTTCATTAACCACTTTCTCATTTACTATTGCAATTGACAACCATGTTTGCTGTGGGGGATTTAGTACACTTAGCATTCTGTAGTTGGGGAAACTGGGTTACTTCCATTGCAGGGTTCACTGAGGTTCAGAATTACCTTACCCTAGCTCAGGGCTCATTCTACTCAACACAGTATAGAAATTAGCAAACACATTTTTACTCATGATCTCTATGGCTCATAGAGAAACCAAACTGTCCCTGAAAGATAACCACAGACCACATGGACAGAGGCATAGGAGAGCAACTTTCAGACAATAGTCTTAAAAGCAAATGTTCATTTCCTAAACTTATGGCTTATGGTCATTGACATGCATACCACTAAAGCTATGTGTATTTGTTAATAAGGTTAGCACTCAGTTTGGTGATAGATGTAAACTGGAACAGAAGAGAAAGAGATGAAGTATACGATATAAAATAACTTGAAAACTTTAGATAAACATGAATAGAGGTTCTTCCTGTGAAGGATCTTCCAGAGAGACTGCTGACACCTTTGTGGTGTGAGTTCCAATCCTTCTGAAACCCTCACTAAAAGACTCCCTTGGAAACAGAGCTCTTTGATTTATGGGTGTCTGTTCATCTGCTTTGATAGTCTAGTGAAAAAATGAAATGGAACGAGACAGCATCCCAGGCAAGAAAAAGTCTTTCTTCAGAAACACAAGTTAGAGACTCAAATGAGCCCAGCATTCAACATCTATCTCAGAACACACTGATTACACCACTGTATTTTTATTAGGTATCAAATAGGACTTTATGATAGGTTTTTGCATATGATATTCTGAACATGAATGTACTTTTAGGCAAATTAAAGGAACATTCATACCTGCACGCGACGGACAGCAGATGGGAGAGTTAGTGTAGGCATTTAAGAAGGTGGTGCCATGTGCTCTCATGAAGTTAATGAAGGGAAGTTTTACTACCTGACTTCCTGGTTGAAACGTTAGTCTTCCATCCTGAAATAAAGAAATTCAACCTCTGCTGATTATGCTACAAAAAAAAATTATTTCCTTTAGTTTTAAACACAAAATTCACAACCCAAAAGACTTCAGCATGTTTATTCAAAATCATGAAAAGAATAAAAAGCAACTACAGAGGTATGTTATTAAGGATCCAGTGCTCAAATAAAATTGAAAGTATTATGATCAAATCCATTTACATATATTAAGTTAAAGAGCTTCTTGGAAAGTTCTTTTGGAGAATGAAGAAATAATTTTAAAATAATATTAATAAACATTAAATACTTGACCTGTGTGTTTATGTATCAGGCACCTTGCAAGATCTAAGAATACAATGGTGAGTTAAAATAGTTTCATATCCATGAAACTTACACCCTGTAGCAGAGATTAAAAAAAAAAAAAAAAAAACCAGTAGCAAATTAACTTTGATGTCTCAGGGTTTCATTACTGTGAAGAGACACCATGACCAAGGCAACTCTTATAAAGGAAAACAGTTAATTTGGATTGGCTGACAGTTTCAGAGATTTAGTCCATTATTGTCATGGTAAGAAGCATGGCAGAATACAGGATATCATGGTGTTGGAGATGGAGCTGAGAGTTTTACATCTTGATCTGAAGGTTGCCAGGAAGAGACTGGATTCTACACTGGGTATAGCTTGAGCATAGCAGACCTCAAAGCTCACACTCACAGTGACACACTTCCTCCAACATGGCCACATCTACTCCAATAAGGCCGTATCTCCTAATAGTGCTATTCCCCATAGGCCAAACTTTAAAATACATGAGTCTATGGGGGCCATATCTATTCAAACCTCTACATTTGATTACTTATATGATTTATCTGTGTGTATTTGTGTATATGTATGCACATATACCTTTTCCTCTGAAACAGGGTCTCATCATCTCAGGCAGCCTCAGACCTGCCACAATGACCTTGAACTTCTGATTCCCATACTCCACCTCCTGAGTGTTGGGATCACAGGAATCCATTACTACACCCTCTTTGTGTGGTGCTGGGAATTGAACCCAGGGCTTTGTGCATGCGAGACAAATCTCATGTGAGCTGTATCTCACATATAGCTATAAATTTCAATAAATTCTAATTTCTGTTTCTGAATTATGACATGGCATTTAGTTCCTTTTCATTCTGGGCCAAGGAGGATCAAAGGAAAAGCTTAGATTATAAGCACTGTTCTAGTTTGATTTTATTGTTGTCACAAACATAACCATGACTCAAAGCAACTTTTGGAAGAAAGATTTATTAGTTCTGGCTACAGTCCATCATTGAGAGAAGTTGGGGCAGGAATGAAGTAGGATCTTAATGAGTAGACACCATGGAGAAACAGTTTGCTGGCTTGGTTTCTGGTTAGCTCACTCACAGTCTTATGCTTAGTTAGTGCTCTTATATAGCCCAGAACAACTTAGACAGGCCGTGAGATAGTGATGTCCACAACATCCCTGCTCTGCTGTACCAATGAATAATCCAGACAATCTCCCCCTTCTTCCTCTTCTTCCTTTTTAACTTGACACAAGCTGGAGTTATTTGGGGGAAGTAGAACTTCAGATGAGAAAATGCCTCTATCAGATTGCCTGTGGGACATTTTCTTGATTACTATGGGATTAATTAATGATTGCTGTGGGAAGGTTCACCTAACTGTGGGCAGGGCTACTCCTGGGCAGGTGGTCCTGGGTTGTACAAGAAAGCCAACTGAGGAAGCCACAAGGAGCAAAGCCAGTAAGGAGTCTTCCTTCGTGACTTCTGCTTCAGTTCCTGCCTTACATTCCAGGATGGAGTGTGACCTGACACTTCAAAGATGAAACAAACCCTTCTCCCCAGCATGTGTTCAGTTACAATGCTTTATCACAAGAATAGAAATATTAATTAAGATTTCTCACACATGCTGTGATCTAGTGATCTAGGCAATATCTCAATTGAAGCTTTCCTCTGGGATAACTTTAGGCAATGTCAAATTGACAATTAAAGCTAACTAGGAAAAGCACTATCCTATTAAAGAGTCAAAAAATGACTCTCTGCTATGGCAAGGCCTTAACATATTGTGTGCCTTTTAGACTTATCTTCCAAGCCAAGTTACATTCTTGGGAGATTCCGAAGTCTACATTCCTGTCCCACTATTTCCTTCTGAAACCTCATCAAATGAGGACCTGTGTGGCTGAAACAGTGGGGAGGTACACTGTGTGTGGAAGCAGGGGTGCAGAGGGAAGGTGCACTGTGTGTGGAAGCAGGGGTGCAGGGGGAAGTACACTGTGCGTGGAAGCAGGGGTACAGGGGGAAGGTGCACTGTTGCCCGTATTAAAAATGTGCAACTCAAAGGTTTTTAGTGTATCCAGAAGGTCATTTCGAACACTTACATCATTCTCAGAAGAACCCTTCGCCTCAGCCTGGACTCCTTTAAAACTGAGGCAAGTGCTAACATGCCGTCTGTCTCCATAGCTGCTTTCTTTGGACATTTCATATAAATGGATTCATATAAATTAGAGTCTGTCATCATTCCTTCTGAGGACAGGTTTTCTAGGTTCAGCCACATTGTAAGAGCATGAGTTTTGGATCTCCTTTTTCATTGCTGAATAATACTCCACACCCACACATTTATCAGTGCATGGCTCTTCAGGTTGCATTCACTTCTCATCTTCCAGCACAATACTGCCATGTAGAAGCTCTGGTGTGGACTCATTTCTCTTGGGCACAAACACAAACATATACACCTAGGACTAGAACTGCTGAATTGCATAGTAACTCTACAGTTAATCACGGTAAAAACTGTCAAATGGTTTTCCAAGGTGGCTGCACCTCTTTTACAAAGCATCTCAACAGCAGTGTATGTAGCTCCTAATTTCTCCATATTCTCACTAACTCTGGTTATTATTTATGGTGTGTGTGTACTGAAGAACTGTAAGAAATAACAGGCCAATAACAACCGTTTCACACTTTATCACATTTACTTACATATTTACATTTATTTACATGTTTATTTACATTACCTCCTCCCCATTCCTTGACTCTCCCCGTATCTTCTCACATAACTTCCTCCTATTTTTATGTCTTTTGATTCTGGCTATCTTTATGGGGATCAATTGGTTTGATCTACATTTCCCTAATGATTAATGAATCTAAGCTTCTTATTATAGGCTTGTTGGCTATCTGTGTATATTCTATGCAGAATGTCTTTTCAAATCCTTGGCTCATTTTAAATTGCCTAATCCATGATTATAAAACTTTAGACTTCCATTGTCTTGAAGGAGTTTTATAGCCTTAGCTTTTACATTTAAATCATTGATCCACTTTAAGTTATTTTTTACATATGGTGGAAGGCAGGACCCAACTTTACTCCTGCCCATGTGTATATTCAATTTTCTAGCACTACTTGTTTACGAAACTTTATTTCTAGACTCTTAAAAATCTATTCTACTGGTCTGAATATTTATCGTTCTGCCTGGAAAATATTACTGTGGTTATTGTAGCTTTCCCATAAGTTTTGAAATTAAAAGGTTGTTTTTTTTTTTTTTTTGTTTTTTTTTTTTTTAGGGCTGTAGAGATGGCTCAGAGGTTAAGAGCATTGGCTGCTTTCCCAAAGGTCCTGAGTTCAATTCCTAGCAACCACATGGTTGCTCACAACCATCTGTAATGAGGTCTGGTGCCCCCTTCTGGTGCAGGCTGAACATTGTATACATAATAAATAAATCTTTAAAAAAAGTTTTTAAAAATCAGTCTTCTTTTTCATGTTTTTTTCCTCCCAACTCGAGGTCCTTTCACTTTACATATGAATTTAATTCAAATTTAAGATTATGCATACATATATAATTTCTTTAATATATAAGAAAGTAGATTTAATTATAACAACTAACATTTAAATCAGTGCTAACACAATTATAAAATGTCTAGATCAGTGGTTCTCAACCTTTCTATGCTGCAACAGTTTAATACACTCCCCCAATCATAAAATTATTTTCGTTGCTACTTCATAACTGTAATTTTGTTAGTTATGAGCTGTAATGTAAATATCTGATATTTCCGACGGTCTTAGGTGACTCCTGCAAAAGGATCACAAGACCCCTCCCAAGGGATCGAGACCCACAGGTTGAGAATTGCTGGTCTAGAGAATAAAGTTAAATTTCCTTCATTTCTCAATCAAGCATTAAGTTTTGTAAATGTAGGCGACTGACATGTGACTCTGGAAAACGAATACAGTTTTATGGAAGTGCACAATGAGTTTTCCTTCAAACTGAATTGAACCTGGATATTGGCTAAATATTAATAATGGCAAAAATGCTTAACTTGTTCCGGTGGTGAACGGGTGTACTCTCTACTGGTGAGGTTGAGACAGAAGGACTGCTAGAGCCCACGAGTTAGAGACCGGCTTCTTACTACTTCTTTACTAGCGTGCACACGTGTGCTGCAGCTGTGCGCATGCAGAACCTCTCAACCCCAGGGTCCTGTTCCCTGTGACGTTTCTCCATAGGCTGTGAGCAGTGTCTGCGCCGGGTCCTCTGGGTACTTACGAAGGAGTCACTGGCGACCAGCACCACGTTGGGTGCCTGGGCTACTGGCAGCCTTTTCTTCAGTGTTCCTGGGGCCGGTGCCGCGAGCGCCAACGCTGCGACCACTGACACCAACAGCAGCAGCATCGCTGGCCTGGGCATTCAGAAGCGGCCGCTGAGCGGGTCTCCTGTGGCCTACTCTCCAGTTATGAGCTGAGACCGGACTCTAAAACTAGTAGTTTGGGTTCCAAATACTGAAGTAAATAGGAGTCGTACCGAGAAACTACAACTCCCATCAGGCCAAGAGCAAGCGCATGCGCAGAAAAGGAATCGCCCTCAGCCCATGTAAAGACCGTTTTAATCAAATTTCGAGCTAATGATAGCTCTGCCAGTTCCTCTCACTCAAGCGATGCCTGGGGAAGTGCGCATGCGTTGTTCAGACTTGTACTTTGTGGTAGTCCCATATGCCCAGGTCGGTTCTCATTGCTTTCGGTTTTGGCAGAAGTCGAAATCTAAAGGCAGTTGAAGTAGTATTTAGGGGGAGAAAGGATTGGGCATGGGCGCGTTGTTAAGGGTTGTCGTCCTTTTGTGCGGGCCTGAATGAATGTTCGCTGACATAGTGAACTTGGCGGTGATGAGGTGGCAGTGATTCTGTCACTTAAATTGGATGGGGCTGTGCCCCTATGGGACCTTAGGCTGGGTCACCCCAGGTGTGGTCTGGATAGTGGTTTGGATCTCTGCGGCACTTCGGGACCCTAGTCATGCAGTCTGCCTCATCGTATTCCCTCTTTTTACCGGGCTGTAAGGATTGTGCTCGTATGGGGTGAAGAGCGGGCCTAATAAGTTTCAGGTTCCAGATACGGAAATATTACTTAGCTATTACTTAGCTATTCTTTGTCTTTGGAGTAGCAAAAGGGATGGGGGGAGGAGGAGGGAACCAGTTCTAAAAGGAACAGATGTGGGCTGTGTGAAGTGTGCGGTTAATTGACGTATGCTTGGAGTAACATTGTTGGGTATAGAATAATCAGCTGTTCCTTTTTTGATTTCTAGATTCCTTTGGAGAATTCTGAAAGAAGCACATTTCTATCTCCAAGTCAAATTCTTCACTGATAAGTTTCAGGTATATAATTGTACATTACACTACTTGTTTTGATTTTCTGACAGGAAAAGGAGGAGTAATGCTATTTATTTAAAATCTCCACTCCCATATCTGGCAGCGTTTTGTACAGATTGATTGTAATGAAGAAAATATCTTTCACATGTAATGCAGTATGTCCTGAGTGTTGTGTTAAGCTTTACTATATATTTACTGTGTAGCGTGCTTTTATGTGGAGTACACTCTGTAGTCTTCATTTGCACTACTTTGCAGATGGGAAAACAGACAGGGAGGTTAAATACCTTCTCAAGGGTGAGAAAGCTTATCTAAGTAGATTGCCTCCTAAACGAGGCACACTCCCCAGAATTGTGTTTACTTAATTTGGAATGTAGAACATACTTTACAGAAACAATATCAACTGGCGCTTAGTTTTGTAAAAATTACTTTGGTTTTCTTTTTTGCATAGTCATGATTCTTTGAACACTAATCATTCTTGAAGGCTTTGTTTCTGCAGGCCCTTGTTCTGAGGGCAGAAGCACACCCTTTTCTTCTTTCTGTAATCGATGTGTCAGTGACAGCAGGTGCTGCAGTGGGTTGGTGAAACAGGTATTTAAGGGACCCAGTTTCAAAGTGCTGCTATAACCGAAGAGGTTTCTAGTACTTTTCGTCTGACATTAAGACGGACCTATAATGGTCCTGCCTGCTGGCTTGTCCAGCCCATACTTCATCTTCCCTGGTGGGAAACCTTACCTTGATCAGCGTGTTCTACACTTGTGGAGGTTTAAGTATTAAAAGTTCTGATTTTGAGCTGAAGTCAGTCTTCCACGTTTAGCCACTCATTAATTCATTATACATCGCTTCTGCATGGGTAAAAGCCATCTTCCCATTTCCTCTCCAAGAGTGGTCTTCTCAGGCTTACTAACTAGTCATCTGCTACTTATCACTTTACTGCAGGTTGCTTTACTGTTTTGTTTTCCTGGAATCTTAACCTTTTTAGTTTAATTCATTAACTAATTAATTATTTTACTGTACATCTCTACTGCAGCTTCCCCTCCCTCCTCTCCTCTCGACTCTCCCCACCCTTGCTTCAACATCAGAAAAGAGGAGACCTCCCATGATTATCAGCAGACCTTGGTATATCGGATTGCAGCAGGACTAGGTCCATCTTCTCCTATTGAGGCTAGATGAGGCAGCCCAGTTAGGGGAAAGGGATCCACAGGCAGGCCACAGAGTAAGAGATAGCCCCTGCTCCTACTGTTAGGACTACCACACCAAGACCAAGCTGAACAACTGTTACATATGTGCTAAGGACCTGGGTCTGTCCCATGCATGCTCTTTGGTTGGTGGTTCAGTCTCTGTCAGCCCCTTATGGGCCCAGGTTAATTGATTCTGTAGGTTTTCCTGTGTCCTTGACCCCTCTGACTCCTACAATCCTTTCTCCCCCTCTTCCACAGGATTCTATGAGCTCTGCCTTCTCTTTGGCTGTGAGTCTCTGCATCTGTTTTCATCAGTTGCTGGGTGATGAAGCCCCTCTGATGACAGTTGTGCTAGGCTCCTGTTTGCAAGTGTAGCAGAATATCATTAATAGTGTCAGGGGTGGTCTCTCTCTCATGGTGTATATCTGGATCAGTCATTTTGTGGTCATTCCCTCAATTTCTGCTTTATCTTTACTTCTGCACATCTGGTAGGCAGGACAAAGTGTGAGGCAGGACAAACTGTGGGTCTCAACAGAGGAATTTCTAATGGCTGAGGAATACTTAAAGATATGTTCAACATCCTTAGTTTTCAGGAAATCCAAATCAAAACAACTCTAAAATTCCGTCTTATACCCATCAGAATGGCTAAGATGAAACCCTTGAGTGACAGCACTTGTTGGTGAAGGATGCATAGCACAAGGGGATGTGGTTGCTGATGGGAGTACAAACTTGTACAATCACTTTGGAAATCAATTTTCCAAAAATTGATAAAAATTGTGCATAGTTCTACCTCAAGACCCAGCTATACCACTCCCGGGTATATAATCAAACAATGGTCCCCCATCCCACAAGGACACATGTTTTTCTATGTTCATAGCAGCTTTATTTATAGTAGCCAGTAACTGGAAACAACCCAGATGTCCCTCAACTAAAGAATGGGTAAAAGAAATGTTGTACATCTTAATTTTTCTTTTTCCATTTTTGGTTTTTCGAGACAAAGAGTTTCTCAATGTAACAAACCCTGGTTATCCTGGAACTCACTTTGTAGATCAGACTGGCCTTGAACTCACAAAGACTCTACCTGCTACTGCCTCCCAGGTGCTGGGATTCAGGGCATGGGCTGCCAGGCCCCAGCAGCATCTCTTCATTGTTTTATGCATTCTGAACATAGACATTTTTGTTAATCACCAAGTTACTCTCTGAGCAAAGGATCTTTTTATGTGTGCCTGTGTTCATGTGGTTAATTAGTATTCAGGTTAGGGGCTGTGGTTTAGTTCACAAGGGCTGATATAATAAAATACCACAACAGAAATCTATTTTCTCATAATTCTTGAGTTTAGAAGTAAAAAATGAAAGAATTGTTAAGTATGGTTTCTTCTGAGGCCAGTGTTATTGTCTTGTAGATGGTCAACTTCTCACTGTATGCCACCTGATCTGTCCTTTGTGTTTTTGCATCTCGGTATGTTCAGATTTCTTCTATTAAGTATGCCAGATTGGATTGGGCTCTTCTTACGTAACCTCATTTGTCTTCATTGCCTTTGTGCTTTGCAAATACTGTTGTATTCTGAAGTTCTTTGATGTATGATATATGAATTTTGGGGTGTTTTAAAAACTTTTCTTGTGGAAACATGAACAAGCAAGCTGAACTAATGAGCTTTTTGGACTTACTTATGGAGCATGGGTGTGGGGTTACTTAGGAATATGGATGACTCAAAGTTAGCTGCATCACTGAGAAGCCATTGCAACATGGGTGATGATTCATGAAGACTGTTCTTGAAGCTCCCTATATAACCTGTTAATAGCTCATCCACTTGCAGAGTATCCTGCTCTTCATTTTGTTACTGCTTATTTACCTTGGGAGAGGAACCTTGTAAATGTCAGTTTCAGGTTCTTTCTGAGATTTGTGGGTTGTTTATTTCTTGAGCCTTATAAACTTTATTTTTTGAGTCTTAAGCAGCCTGCCACCAGGATGGGATGTTTTAATTTGAAAGAAATTTCTATATAACACAGCAGGACACAATTATCCCATAACAGGCTCAGATCTCTGTATGCCTAGGTTTATATCATCAGCTAGTGATTTCCATGTTAGGAACAGGTTGCTTTAGAAAAAATATTCTATTCTTAAGAAGTTAGAGAAGTGTTCAGTTGAACAGTCTGGATCTAGCTTATGGTCCTCTGCAGGGCTTTTAATATCCAAAGTAACAGAATTTCCCAAAGAACTTCCAGTCAGTTTTGGGAAACACATAGATATACATACTTGTAAAAGTCTAAGACTAGAAAAGGCATTAAAAAGTATGGGTAATAGTTGAATACTAATAATAATAATATACCCCTATAATCCCCATCCCCTCCCAAAAGCAGTAATATCCAAATCTATTTTCTGGACCATGCTAGTGTTTTCAAAATGTCATCTTGCTTTCACTGAGCTGAGTGTTCTGTGATGACAGAGTTTAGGGTTTCTGCATTCAGTTGTTTTGAGGTATTTAGATTTTCCAGGGGCTTTAAGATTCCAGTATACACTGTGATGGGACACTGAGATCTGTTTGGTAGCCACAAATTTCCTGCACCATGTAGTAAATGCCTTTAAGCATGTTTCTTGGAATATGTTTTTGGAAATGCTGATATAGGTCAGGAATGTTACAGGATAGGACTGGTGTGAATTTGATATGGGGCAGGTTGTATGCTTAACACTTCAACTTGTCCTTGTTATGAGTAACATGAGACTAGGCAGAAGTAAGAGTAAGCAGGCTGAATAGTTGGGAGAAACAAGGATACACAGTTAGAATACTGGAGGGCTCTCCAAAAGAGTAACGTGAGTATTGACAAATGCTTTTTTCTGATCTAGACTTTGGAAGCTCGATCTTAAGTCATGTATTTTATGTGTACTACTCAACAGGATTGTGTCATAGTTAAGAGTCACTAGTACTGTGATGAAACACCATGACCAAAGCAACCTGGGGAGGAAAGGGTTTATTTGGCTTACACTTCCACATCACATTTCATCATCAAAGGAAGTCAGGGCTGGAACTCAAACAAGGCTAGAACCTGGAGGCAGGAGCTGATGCAGGTCTGGGAGGAGTGCTACTTACTGGCTTGCTTCCCATGGCTTGCTCAGCCTGCTTTCTACAAAACCTCGTTCCACCAGCCCAGGTGTTGTGCTACCTACTATGGATTGGGCTTTCCCCCATCAATCACTAATTAAGAAATACTCAACAAGCTTGCCTGCAACCCAGTCTTATGGAGGCATTTGAGGTTCCCTCCTCTCAGATGACTTTAGCTTCAGTCAAGTTGTCATAAAACTAGCCAGCAGAGACGGATTACACAAGGGGCTACAAATAATATGGGCCTTGCGTTTGGATACTTAGTTGGGAAGGAGCACACATGTCCATAGAACAATTAAAAATTCTCATATGTTTTTGTTGAGTAGCCCAGGAGTACCTCAAGCTTTATGATCAGTACTTGTGTAATAGCTGATTTGAAGAGGATATACTCAGGGTTGATGATAGTTGTAAGTTAAAAGAGATAAGATCACCTCCTCAGAGAACAAGGAATGAGGCTGCAGATGGGTCGAGTTTATTTTTTTATTAAAAAATTGTGTGTAGTGTATTTACATCATTTTCCCAAATCTTTCTGGTGCTTTGCATGCTTTCCTACAGCTAGCTCCTCTCAAATTCATAATTTCTTTCTAAAAAAAGAAACACACATGTTATACACACACATGTACACACATACAGAAATGAATATATAAACACAACCTGCTGAGTCAATTTATTGTTGCTCCTATGTATATGTTTTAGGTATTGGATAACCAGTTAGTGTTCTCAAATC